GTTCTGCAGCAACAGACCTGAATGATGTTACAGTCCTCTCTCACTCCTTCCTCATTTCTCTCTCACTCCTCTCTCATTCCTCATACAGTCCTCTCTCACTCCTTCCTCATTTCTCTCTCACTCCTCTCTCATTCCTCATTCAGTCCTCTCTCACTCCTTCCTCATTTCTCTCTCACTCCTCTCTCATTCCTCATTCATTCCGCACTCACCCCTTCCTCATTTCTCTCTCACTCCTCTCTCACTCCTCCCTCACTCCTCCCTCACTCCTTCCTCACTTCTACTTCACTCCTCTCTCATTCCTCATTCATTCCGCACTCACCCCTTCCTCATTTCTCTCTCACTCCTCCCTCACTCCTCCCTCACTCCTCTCTCACTCCTTCCTCACTTCTACTTCACTCCTCTCACACTCCTCCCTCATTCCTCTCTCACATCTCTTTCACTCCTCTCTCACTCCTTTCTCATGTCTTTCTCACACCTCTTTCCCTCTTCTCTCACTTTCTCACTTGTACCTCACTCCTGTCTCACTCCTTTCTTACATCTCACTCCCTTTCCACTTCTACCTCATCCCTGTCTTACTCCTCCCTCACTCCTCCCTCATTTCTACTTCACTCCTCTCTCATTCCTCATTCATTCCGCACTCACCCCTTCCTCATTTCTCTCTCACTCCTCTCCCACTCCTCTCTCACTCCTCCCTTACTCCTCTCTCACCTCCTGCAGGATGATGAAGCATCATCTCCCTCTGCCTGGAGTGTGACCAGGTCTCTGTCCAGTCCATCTGGTCCTCCTCCCTCAGTCTCTGCACTGCTTCAGGACCAGCAGCAGCTCCTCCATCAAGGAGCACCATGGACGGACTCCGGCTCCCTCCTGTCATCGAAGAAGTTCTGGATCCTTCAGGTGAGTGCAGATCCTGATCCTCACACTAATGAGCCTCTCTGGCGCTGAAAGTTCTCTCTGTTCCACTTCCTGTGTCACAATAAAAGCCTCTGGAGACACGGAGGACTGTTGATCTTCAGGTCTGGAGACCGTCCTGATGCTGGGACTCTGGTGACGGACCAAACCTGCAGAGATKTGTAGCCTCATCCTGTTTGTTATCCTGATGCAGATGTTTTCTTCTGCTGGACGTTGGTCCTCATCCTGGTTCTGAGCAGAGATGGATGAAGTTCACTCTGACATCTCAGGAAACCTCMGGGCTGATGGAGCTGAGGAAGACATGTTCTCCTCATGTCATCATCATCATCATCATCCTCATTTTATCATGTTGTTTTCACCTCATCTCACTGTGTCATCTTTATGATGACGATGATGTTCTCATGGACAACATATTGAGGGACAGATGAGGAGACAACATCATGTTCTGGACATATTTGTCTGACTAATCATGTCCTGAACCTGAAGACACCACACATCCTGCTGCAGGGCTTTTATTGTGAAAGTCCACTTGTGTGTCTGGGATTGTCAAGTCTGTGTATGAAGGATTTAGTTTTCTCCCCTTCAGATGGTGTTAGAGGACAGCATGTCCTCAGGCTGAGACACCTGTGTGTAAACCCAGGTGCATGCTGGGACATCTGCAGAAACATCAGACATGTGTGTTTTATACAGATGAGCTGTGTGAGCTGAAGGAGGACAAACCTGTCAGGTCACAAGCTCTGCCAGTCAAACAGAGGAAGTCCCAGGAGGAGAAGGAGGAGACGGCTGGAGGGGGAGAGAAGGGACAGCAGGAGGAGGAGAAGGACAGGAAGTCCAATGAGGAAGAACAAGAAGGAGGAGCAAACGATGAAGAGGAGGAGCTGGAGGAGCTGAGAGCTCAGGTGGTTCAGCTGCTCCTGGAGCTGGAGGAGATGAGGGAGGATTCTCAGAGACATGAGGAGAACTTCATGGAGCTRCAAGGTGAGGAGCTGCAGAACCAAAGGTTCCATCTCACAGAACGATCAGATTTTAACCTGGAATGTTCTGTTTGTTGTTTCTGTTCAGGTCTGTTAGAGGAGGAGCGGCTGGCCAGCGCTCATCAGGCCGAGAGCTTCACCAGACAGATCCAGAACCTGCAAGGTTCTGACACTAACATCAGGAGAACATGTTTACATCAGGAGAACATGTTTACATCAGGAGAACATGTTTACATCAGGAGAACATGTTTATATCACGAGAACATGTTTACA